CGATCGAGCAAATGATGCCACCGATCGAGCAAATGATGCCACCGATCGAGCCAGTAGTTATAATGAATCAAATGAATCATCCACCACAACCACCTCCATTCATTCACCCAATGCATCAGGCACAGCAACAGCTACAACCGCATCCACCACCACCACCTCCACCACTTCAACAATTTGAAGGTTAGAAAAAACGTTAAACCGTTGCGAGACTGTAGCAAATCTTTGTCTCACACTTTCAAATGAAAATGCTTAGCAAATTAAGTCAAAGGCGTCCAAGTGGTTGATGGCATTTTATGTAGTTTTTTCAGGAAACAATTATCTAAACGAAAATCAAATGAGTCGCAATTGCGGTAATATTGAACAAATGGAACGAAATTTCGTAAATCCACACCAATCGAACAAACAACAACAACAACAAAAACAGCAACAAGCATTGAATAGTGAAACGCCGTCGAACATCGCAGCTACAAAACCAACAATACCAACAACCATTGATGGCCTCATCGAATATATATCGACAATGGGCGATAGTTTTGAAGAAAAAATAATTGCTGAAATCGCTCAGATGAACGAGCGTTCTCTATTTCGGTAAACAGCAATGACATTCTTCACTCCCCCTGAACGTACCGTTCGCATTTCAAGCAAATTCGTGGATGTGACCGAGGCCGGCGTTGAACAATAAACATAACACTCGGATTTTATTGAATTCATATTTGTTTGCACAAATTTTCCCTTTTAATTCATTTGACATTTTATATCTCATTTTATTGTGCGTTTAGGTTCTTAAACGAGAAAGATTCGGAAAATTACATAACCTATAGGCAAAAGGTTTTGCAAGCGCGTGCAATGAAATTGAGCCAAGCATCACATGGTAGCAACGAAAAGTACGATCCCGAGGATATTTTACGCGACGATGATCAAGACGTTGACAACAATCTACCACTCATGAATATTCCGTCGCTATCTACCAATAGCGATGATTATGATTCTGACTCCGAATACATGCAGGAAACAATGGAGCGAAATTTAAAAAACATGAAAAATCGAATCGACAGTGGAAGCGCTAAGAAGCGTTACGCCGAACCAATCAACTTTTCATCAGATGAAGCCGATCACACCGATGAAGAAGACCACATGGAAATGTATCGGAAAATTCAAATGCGTGAAAATATGTTGGATGAACCAATAAATGAAATGTCACACGATCAATCGTCGCAACAGCAGACGGGCTCCGATAAAACCGATAGGAGGCAGAGCAATGCGGGTAATCGAAAGAAACGCAGCCGTTGGGGTGAAAAAACCGAAGAAAAATCGGACACCCAACCAATGGCACCACCATCTACATCGAATCGACAAATTCATGGCAACAAATCAGCACCAATGCTGTCGGCCGTTAAGCGAACCGATCCGGCTCTGCTGAATTATGCACGACAAAACTACGGTACGATTGACCTCAGCGAAGACGATTGGATAAAGTGTGAGGAGCATTTCAAAGTGAACCTTCTATATCAGGATATGTTGCGTAAGCGAGAAGAGTTGGAGCGTCTGGCGAAAAGTGGTCAGCATAAGTATGAATATGACTCTGATGAAGATACGGCTGGCGGAACATGGGAGCACAAGATGAGAACGGCTGAAATGGAAGCCACCGCAGCATGGGCTGATGCTCTAACTCTACAATCGGTAAATCTCAAACAGTGAAGAAGCGTATTGCAGTGGAATTAATTGTGGTTTCTATTTCTTTTTCGAATATATGTAGGAAGGAAAGCATCATATCGGCGATTTTTTACCACCAGAAGAGCTTAAAAAATTTATGGAAATTTACAAATCAAAACAAACAAACCGGGAACCTGATCTCAGCGATTATAAAGAGTTTAAATTAAAAGAGGATAACAAGGGTACTATAGGGAATAGATTTTGATTTTAATGGCAAAAATCTCTAATTCTCATGATATTTCGTAGGTTTTCAAATGTTGCAAAAACTTGGTTGGACTGAAGGTCAAGGATTGGGCGTTGATGGCGGTGGCATTCTGAATCCAGTCAATAAGTTCGTTGTTTTTAGTGTATTTCGACTCAAAAGTTGATTCAATAATCCAATTTATTTGTTTTTCAGAGCCACACAACGCGATAGCAATCAAGGTTTGGGTACAGCTTCCAATACAACGCCCGAGGCAGGCGATAACGAATATGATGCATACCGCAAACGAATGATGCTGGCTTATCGTTTCAGACCCAATCCATTGGTATTTATATCTCGTTTGTGAAAGATGACCTAATTTGATTTTCATTCTTCTTCTTTCTGACTCGTCTTAATTTCAGAACAATCCGCGCAGAGCTTACTACTAATGTACCTTTTTCTTCCATGAGATAATTGTTGCATATTGACAATTGATTCGTTGAACACTGAGCAGGCCATCCGAAATACGACCGAAAAAAAAACACGTATCAATACTATAGACCATTTAAATGAAACACATTTCATTGAAGTAATTTTATTTTTTCATGTATGTATTACGTTGAATCAAACATAAATTACAGTAAGCATAATAATGCAAAAAGGATACATTAAGACATTAAATTCTATAAAATTACATCAAATAAGCTGTTTATGAATGAATTTGTTCTTTTCTTTTCTCCCTCTTTTCATTTTACATAGATTCAGTTTTCATTGACATTTAAATGAACGACTCTTTCACTTGTCTTGAGCTATTTAGTATGATTTTCATCTAATTTATTATCCACATAATAATAAGTTGTCCCAACACTGGGGAAAAAACAAACAAACAAAAATCAATAAAAAAAAATTCAACTCAATGTGTTGTACTGTTTTATTGTGAGATTCTTTTTTCCAAATTAAACACAAAAAAAAAAACAGGAGAAGACTCTTAACAATGCTGGAACCTGCATTTTTGGCAATATGAAAAAAGTACGTTCATCAATTGGTATCATTGAAAAAGAAAACTGATTTTTATTTTCACTGGGTTTTTATTTGAACTGATTAGAATGCGCTTAAACGACTAAACCATATCAAAAATTTCACTTTAAAACGATACATATGATTAACAAATCCGTTTCATATTTCGCATTTGTTCAGCCAATATATTCGTATACGTTATGCAAATACCATGTATTCAACTAAAATGAATTGATTTGTTTTGATCTCATTATTTCGATCTCGATACATGAAAATTAATATCTCAAGATTTAAAATGGTCAAAATTGTAGCCAAAACGTTTGTTTTTTGTTGCCTCTTAAAAAACAATATCAAAATAGTAGTTCTTTGATTCTAAATTCAAATTTTGCATACAAATTGTCTTTGAAAATTGGTAATTGACTTATACTTTGTTGGAATTCTAACACGTTTCCTCATTCGAATCTATCGATTCCATTATTTATCCTGTTATCCAATATTTATTGTGTGTTGCTTAATCTCTAAATAAAATGTTGTTTGAATTTGTTTTTTTTTTTTTGATTTCAGTAGATCCATTTAAATGAATTTTAAGTGAGTAATATATTTACTTAGGCCTAACACGTATATATGTATAGCATTCAAGAATATTAATTCATTTAATGTGTCACGGATGACTAAAACTACAAGAGACTTGTTGACTTAAAACCTGCATTAATCATATTATTCACAAGTGATTAGAGCTATAAGAAAATCTCGTTCACAACAATTAATGTAAGTCAAGATTAGTTAGTAAGCATTGTGTATTTTTTTTTTTAGAAAAATAGAATGCGAAATTTCTACCATAAAGAGATATATATGTTTTAATAAGTGGCTTGAATAATTTGATAAGTAAAATTGAAAATAAGCACATCTACACTTGGAATTTATATATATTATTCTGCCGTTCAGTTGCATGATACGCTCTTTCATTGCCTTACTCTATTACTCCGTATTATCATACAGTTTTATATTTACAATTTCGATATTCATCGATCAATATCCCATAAGTATGGATGATGTTGTTAGATTTTCGAACCACACTCCGCTCCATAAATACTGACAATCTCAATTTCGTACGGCACATCATTCATTTTTTGAGAGAAAAAATGTCAAAAGTGCAATCAATCGAGTCATAGAATTAAAAAATCAACAATTAGATTGTTATCAAACTATTGCACTTCACTTCGATTCATTTGTCCATCGTTCGCAAAAAAATTGCCAAAGTTTTGACAGTTAAAAAAAGTTTGTTTTGTGAATGAAATTGCACGACTTAAAATTAACACAAATCAAATTATATGCCGTCATGGAATTATCTTCCAATAACCCACTTAAATTCCACACATTTCAATTGAAGAGTTTATCAAAAAAATGAATTATGACAAAGTTTAACACGATTCCGTGCACTTCACATATAATCACAAATTGTTATCACACATCGTCGTAGTGATCGTAAGTCCCGTTATATTAGATTTCAAATTGTCTTTGATATCAATTTTTTTTTCTTATGCATTGCACATGACTATAACAATGAGTTTTTTTTTAGAAACTGAAAATGTTCTTTTCACCAGAGCTAAAGTGAACATCACCGATTTCGCATTCTAAAAGAGTTTCATCAAAATGATGAAAATAAAACGAATTTATAAAAGTTTCTCAGATACATTTAACTGTCATTCGTTACACTTGTGGCATTATCGTCAACGTCATCGTCGTCACAATTCTCACCATTGTCTTGATCAACCGATGATGTTGTCGTTGGAATATTCCTTTCCATTTTCAATTGCAAAACGGTCGGATCATAATAGCCAGCCAAGTAGAACGTATCATTATTGTCATATACTGATGTGTATTGCTTTGGATCTGGTCCATATTTCTTTGTGTACGCATTCAATGGTATTACTTTGCATTTATGCGATATGGTTTGAACGTCGTTCTCATCTTCGTGTGGAGATTCAAATAAAGCACCCTGAACAATGAAATAATGCAAATGGTTATCGGTTGAAAACGTCTTGAAAGTATGAAATATCCAATTTGAATTCGTTCAATATTCGATGGCACTTACCGGATAAAGGAGATCAGGGCATCCGGTAGTCTCTTCAGGATGGTAGTACCATTTCACCTTGACAACTCTATTGTTTGCGTTGCTTTCCCAGAGCGACTCGATTCGCCCAATGTATGGTCGATCTGGTCGTCCTGTTGACAGGAATACCGCACTATCACCAACCTAAATAAGGACAAATGAATAGATTTCAATTAATTCCACCGCAATACACTTCATCACAGTTTGAGATTTACCGAAATCGTCTCTTTGCCACGTTGAATTGTTTTGTAGAACACTTTTTTGTTGCGTGCACCTTTTCCCGTGGTTCGTTTGAAGCCTTTTCCCGACCATGCCCACAATTGTCGTGCTGGCAAAAATGCGGCTATTCTGCTGTGCTTCTCATTCGAAGTGGTTTTCCCTTTTCCAGGATTCTGAAATGCATTGAAAATCAAATGAATTCGCTGACACCCAAAAAAGAAACTATGTACGAAGTTTTTCTTACGTAGCTTGAGCCGGAGCTGTCTTCTGTAATCGATGACACAATATCTTCGTCAATCGGCCACTCAATCTTGTTGAGTTTAATATTAACGGATTTGGTTAGGGCATTTTTGGTGGCCTGCAATTGCTTCTTAGATTCAACCGTTTTCTCAACAGTCTTTGGCATCTCATGTGAGTCGCCACTATCATTGTCTTCATCATGCTCGTCGTCTTCAATGGTTTTCTCTTGGATCAACGATCCCTTTGGCTCTGTGATCGTGTCGAGCTCACGGTGATGATGTTTTTTGTGCTTTCTTCGTTTTTTATGCTTGCGATGCTTGCACAATTCATCACCGCACTTATGTTTATGCTTGTGCTTATGCTTTCCATTTGGATCATCGTTGGACGACAATTGTCGTAGCTTATCTTTTCGCAGTTTTTTGAGCCGCCGTCGTTCCCTATACAATTTAGATTCAACCAATGTATGAGTCATTTAATAAAACAAACAGCATTTTAAACGAACAAAGAAGCAAATTATTTACTTGTTAGCCTCCTTTTCTTCGCGGGTTGGTAGCTGCTCGCCCGACTCATGCTGCACACTAAAGACATTCGCACTTGTTGACGGTTGATTTGAGTCTGTAAGTTTGCTCATTTGCTTATTACGTTTTCCTAACGATTGTAATGGATTTGGGTCGTATTCTACGTAAAATTGTTGATTTTTGACAAAAGAAACCAAAATGCAAACACGAAACAAAAGAGAAAACAGAATAACAAATGAAAATTGAAAAAAAAAAACGCTATCATACTAAAAACTAAACCGTTGATTGAAACCGTTGACTAAAAATCAAAATAAAAGCCAATAAGAGACCGGATTGGCTTTTATTTCGATAAACTTAATATAATTCTTAAATTGAAAAGTCTAATAATATTATCATATACTACAAAATCACATGCTACTTAGAAGAGTTAAAAAAGACATAATCTGGAAAATATTCTTACCAACGACAGGATAGTTGGAAGTTAGGAAGCGAATATCTTCAATGGCAATGCGACCACTGTCACCATCATCAAATTCAACAACGGCATATTTAGAATTGGTTTCATATTCAGGGGATGACGAAGCCGCCACTGTTCCAGGGTACAAGCAACGATATTGTTGACTCCAATATGCACACAATCGCGTACCAGGTGGAACTTCTTCTGCTGAAGTTGGTGCCATCTCGATGATCTGCATAGAAAAATACAAAGACATTATTGTTTCATTCAACCTATGAGAATCGATCCTTCGCATAAAAATAACAACTTACCGCATCTCTGAGAATATCTTCACGTTCGAAGAGCAGCAGCAACAGAAACGAGGGAAAAAAGAGAAGACAAGAAAATGAAGTTATTAGTTTACGTTCATGTATTTTCAAGTTTCATTTGTTATCCCATCCACTCATTGTTTCATTTGGATCCTACCTTCACGTGACATGATATGTGCCTTATTGCCACGTTCGCCATCAAGCGTAACTCCATAAAGATCTGGTGGGCTAACAGCAGTTAGATTGCCAGCATAAAAGAGTCCACCCATTGCTGTAAGTACCCGTTGCTTTTTGCCATCGATCAAACCATCCAATGTTTCATCGGTCAGCAAGCATTTGTGCTTGTGTTCTGTGGATATTCGATGATGCTTTCGATCTTTGCCCAATTTCATTTTCTTATTATTGTTGTTATTGTTAATATTATTATGTTTTGATAGGGCCGACGGCTTCAATTTGACAGTGCCTTCACTGATCACGCCACTCAAATGATTCTTGCTACGACTTTCATCCGAAAAGCTTCCGAAGAGTTTGACTTCTGGATTCGGAATGGAATCATCAAAATCGTAGATTTCCTGTTTGATTTTTGCCGCATTTCGTTTGAGACACGCTGAAACATCGGAATTGATGCTTCCATCTTCCGTGGCCGATTGGCTGCTCTCGAATTTACTGTCGTTGATTCGTTTTTTCGATGCGAATATGTATCCAACCAAACTTTTGTTCTTTTTTGCCTGGAAGTCAATTGGATCACATGCGGTGGTCATTTTTCGCTTGGACGAAGTCGAAGAACAAGATTCAGTGTCGCTGTAAATCTTTCCATTCGAAGAGAATTCAACCACAGTACTCTGGTTGCAGTCGATCGATGACGAGGAGAGAATCGATGGCGAAAATGTTGGCATCGATGTGAAAGACAACTTTGACGAAGAGCTGGAGCTTTTTGATGACGAAGGAGTCGATTCACGCTGCAATCGCTCTTTGCTATTGAATGCATCCAGTTTTCGTTCTTCTTCTTTTACTTTTCGCTTAATTTCGGCCAACTGATGTCTCATTTCCGATTTCATTGCACCATAAACTTCTTCGGGCGTTGGGAATTTCATTTTACAGCAACATGGCTCATTTGTCAAACTCTTTCGGCAATCACATTTCATGTATTTTTCCTTGATTCGATCGAACGTTTCCCTGAAGTCTTTCTCAACGGCATCTTCCGTCGATGAGATTCCATTCGAACCTTCACTGCTTTGACGTTTCTTTTCTTTGCGCTCCTTCTTCTTTGACTTTTTATTTGAGTGCTTCTCTTTGTGTTTTTTGACGCGTTTCGGCTCAGATCCTTCTTCAGATGAAGATGACCGTTTGCGCTCCAAACGATGTTCATTGCTAACTTCTTCTTGGAAATGTTGTTCGGCCAATGCGCACAACAAATTCAATCCACCCAACTGTTCATTGGCCGGAATGTAAGGAGTCTTATGCAGAGGTGTTTGAGTTGGTGAAATGCGCTCTTCGTATGGCGTTCTGCTTTCGAAACGTTCGACACTTGCACGTCGAACTTCTACGACGGTGTTGGAGCATTGGGATGCGTATGACGGTGGATCATAGACATTTGGCGAAATTTGAGATCGATCTATCGGCTCCTGTTTGATAAATGGTCGCTTTTCAAATGCTTCAATGCTATTAGAGAGCAACTCCAAGCCGCTAATGTCTGGTACAATGGATTTGTTCGGTATTGGCTTCTCCTGAGGTGATGACAAAAATTGTGCACTTGAATTGATTGACAAATCCGTCGGTTGATGCGGAGATGGTGGCGTTACTGTACGAACGTTCGAAAATGAACAGACAATATCACACTCTGGCGTTTGCTGGTTGAAAGATCTCTCATCCTCTATCATATTTGTTGACGATACATCCATCTCAAAACTGCATTCAGTCGATTTGTGGCTCTCTCCAGAGATGGTGCTACTCAAATTCACACCACTGCTTGAGCTATGGATATAGTCCGTTGCAGTACTTGTACTTTGCGGTGATATATTTTGTGGCGGAGAATGAATGGAGGAACACTCTGCCATGTTGTTTGTCATGCTATGGCACATTTCAACACACGAAGATGATGTCGGTACGGAAATATTCATTTCATCAATTGAAGAATTGGAATTCACCACGATGTTCGAACCATACGCTGAATCATCGGCACCATTTGTATTGTCATCCTCGCTCATCACTGGAGTGTCGGTTTGAATGGTTGCATCTTGAACTGTTTGAAGATGAAAAATTATCAATTTAATTTAAAATTTGTTTTCATTGGCATAATTTTTCGAGGTAGTATTTGAATGAATCAACAAAACTTGTCAAAAGTATGTTGAAACCCAATATTTTATTCTTTGTATGGCTTCAAGCCATGAGGGAAGCTATAACCGGGGAAAATATAACCGGTCACCCTTCAAGCCATTTGCTTGCTTTTATGATTTACGTTAAAAGTACTTACCTTCGGGTAAACTGCTGACACCTGATGAATCCAAATTATCATCGCATCTTGAGTATGTTTCCGAAATCGGTGTTAGGCAAGACATCGTCGAAACGGTCACATCAGGTGGCGTTAAAATGTGTGGCATTGGTTGCGGCTGCAGTGCTCTGCAATCCAAAGTATTGAGCAGAGGAATTGATGCCGAAATAGTTTGATTATTTCCATTATTCGAAAGTGTTTGTGTTGCACCAACTGAAGTGTGTGGTGCTAGTTGTATTAAGTTCCCATGTAGTCCATGTGTTTGATAATAGTTGCCCAATTGACTTGCAATATCTGGTACAACGTCATTTGTTTGAGTCGCTGTTATTGTAGCTGTCTGTAAGCCAGAGGATTTGGGCTCAAACGGAGCCAAAGTTGGAACGGTGTCTTCAATTTTGATCAGTGTCGGTGCTGGTTGAATTGGCAATGGAATCGTTGGGTTATGACTTGTCTTACGCTTATTACTACTATCAGATGCCAATGCTACCAGTCGAGTGCTATGTGTTTGTGTATGCTAAACAAAATGTAACAACAAACCAATATTTTATTGCGCTGCTTTGAGAATTAATTAATTAATTAATTATTTTTTTTTCCTGCTATTTCTACCTGATGCAATGTTGTACCGGCCGATAAATAATCAGATGCGCTGAATAATAACGGTGCCAATGGTGGTGGTTGCATTGATGGTGCGGCCGTGATTGGCGGCATTAATAAATGCTGAGTCGGCTGAATTGTAGTCTGTGGCTGAGTATATGTGGCTGGCCAGACGACTGCTTGTTGAAATGGTTCTGATGGATAAGAGATAAGAAGTTTATCTAGACCCATTTAAAATGCCACAATAGCATGCGTCACAGAACAGTTTTAGTCGATAAGCGATCCGAAATTAAAGGCCAATTTTTTTGTATGGTTTTGTTTGTTTGTTTGTTTTTGTGTGTGTAAAGCGGAAGTGAAAGGGATGAGCATTTTGTATGTTTGGGTTGTGTGTTTGTGTGTATTATATGTAAGCCATTAAAAATTACGAGCGTTTTGAAATAGTTTCAATTATACCGCAGCCAAGTATCGGAAAATAAAAAAGAAACAGAACAAAATAAACGCTATTAATAAAAAAAAATTGAAAAATAATCCAAAACCAATCATCAGAACTTTTTCACGAATGAATTAATTACATCAATCGTTTGATTCAAATAATTTAAAAGTAAAAAAGAAACACATTTTCATTCGTTACAAAAAATTACTCCATTAATTGGATCCATATCAAATAGAATTTAAAGTGTGTGTGTTTTTGTTGTTGTTAATGATTTGTGGTTTTCAATTTAAAAAAAAAAGTGTGTGCTAATTAAGCATATGGGTTAATCATGACATACCTATTGATGTGGCTGCTGTGGGGAAAAACAAAAACTGCCCACTGTTTGGATCGCGAAGCAGTTGAAAGGGTACGGGTGGCAACATCGATTCGACAGGCATGGGAGCTGTAATTGATACAAAAAAAAATCATTTTTAAAAAAACCTGCACTTTTGAAGCATCAAATAGCCATTATTTTCTAAATAGGATGTTTCCATTTTGCAGTGATTTTCCGTTTATACCAGAAATTATTCAATGAAATGGGATTTTCAAGATGGATTTTTAATGATATTACTTTCGAAAATTATTCATATCACAATGACTGCAATTCGTCGGAAATTGGCCAAATGACAACACGGATCAAGATTGATAGATCACAGTCAACGACATTAAAGAACATGATTAGATTCTGGTACAGAATGAACACAAAAAAAAACTCATCTTTTGCACTCTTCTGTCGAGTTTTTCTTTTCTTTTTGAAGTATTCAACACAAGGCACAAATATTAAATTACCGTAGAGACGCTGAGTGTATGAATAGAATGAATAGAGTACATTGAAACCAACCCACACTGTACAGTACACACTACATCATGTAGGGTGAGCTCATCGCATTTAGCGATTGCAATCAACTAAGAAATGCAGATAGATCGAGTTTGTGCTGGGGGAGAAGTCCCTTCTCGTCATCGATTCATTAAAATATGCTATGCTCTTCCTCATGCACATTTGTTCAATGTTCCATAATTCATTTGTGCCGCTCACGATTTCATCACCCTCGCTCTATTTATATTTACATTACTACTTTATATCGGCCCCTAAAAATGATGATTTTAATAATTCGAAGCAAAATTGCATTTGTTTAAAAAAATTGCTCGTTGTTAAACTGCTTTTGTGAAATCAAAGCAAAGCAACGGAATATGAATGGGAAAGTTTAGTGAAAAGTGCACTATTGTTCAACATTTTTTTTCGATTCATTTAGCATTCGGATATGAATGATTTCGAATACATTGTGCGCTTCAATTACGATAGTAACATAGTTTCAGCTCAAAATGCCGATCGAATATTGAATTTGAATCAAATTCGATTCAGTACTACTTCCTACAATTTCGGCACTATAGTTTTCATCATAAACATTCATTTATTAAAACATATGGTTTAAAATATTAAAATATTTCGAATTATTCCATCTAGAAAAACACGAACAAATTCGAAATATAACTGCCACAAGTTCGTAGCGTTTGTGCGTATTCTATTTCCTATTGGTAGTTTTAACGGAAGCTCTGCGTTGATTGGACGCAGGAGACATAGGCGGAGTGGAGGAGTGTTTTGTTACGTTTGTCCACGCCTCTCGCACTTCTCTCGTGACACTCTATTTCTACGCGTTCGTTTTTATTTTCGTTCGTATTTGATAGTAATCGTAAATTTATTCACGTTGTTAATTTATAGGCACTGTTTCAATGCAATCAACTTTTCTCCGAATGTTTATCAAGATGTTTCGTATGCGGCAAAAATGTTGAGTGTTTCTCTTTCTCTTCTTCAATAGATGAATTAATCCTATATATGCTTATAGGCATTCGATTTGTGTCAAGATTTTGTTTTTTTTTTTTTCTCGAATATAATATTAGTGAGGCTAGCTGACTGTATTGAGACCTTTCAAGAGGATGAACTTTTAAAAAAAAATTTTGTTTATAACGAACAAATCTAAGCTTGATTTTGTTTCTAATTAAAATGAATTTTAAGTAGTCCGCATGAGTTATACAGTAATTTGAGTGTAGCACATTTTATAGCCATATTTTAATGGTGATAATAAAACTTTTATGGTTCATACCGATGGAATACGAATAAGCATAGAAAAAAAACGGTGTTCATTATGAACGATAACCGGGCCTAAAGTTATTCTTTGTCGTCATCGTCGCCATCATCATACGAAATAATGCTATCTTTTTTGCATCTCCATACCAATCCACGCAAAGTGCTTAAAAGTGTGCATTAATATGCGAAAACTCTCATTGGCATAATAATTTGCAGGGTGAAGTGTTTGTGTAAATAATTTATACGTTTTAGTGTTTGTTTTCTATTCAATGTATTCGTAGATGCATTTAGTGTAGTAAAAATAAGAGTGTGAAATGAGGAAATATTCAGTTTTATATAATTTCAGCCGGATAGGAGACGAAACACCAACAATAGTAATAACATTGATGGCTTCATTTGAAGAATGGAGTTATTGAACGAACAAAATGCTTTGAATTGAAACATGTCTTCAACTATTTTACTTCTGAATACTTTCAATTAATAAATTGGTTGAAAAAAAAAAACAGATGAGTTTGAATTAATGGTGTATTTAGTTTGACAGCTTTCTATCGAATATGTTGGATCAAAAAAATGGACTTCTATGTGACTCACTTTTCCTTCTCCAAAATTGAACTGAACATTTCTTTTAAAAGTGATACAATAACTATAGCTTATTCTATAATCTATTGTAGATGTAAAATGATTTATATTTGCGCATTACAACTACGGTCTTAGGTAGCAAAACGAAAACCAGTTGTGTTTTTAAAGTATAATCATTGTACATGCAAAAGAATTCAGAGCTAAACTCTGAATGAATTAAATGCATTTTTGAGAAGTAAACACTCAGAACCGCTATATGATATTTGCAATCTTTACAATTGATTACATATAATGCACGTCAATTAGCATTGTCTAATAAGGAGATTATCTACTTTAGATGTATTGAACATTTGCAGATAATTTTTTTTTTAAATAATAACGAATCCAAAAAAAATGATCACGTACCTGGATATTGCCATAACGTAGGCGGAGTTCTGACTGCGTTTTGAACGTTCGATACACCCATGGAAACGGCAGCCGCAGTTGCAACATCTGAAGAAAAGGGAATCATGGTTGAATTCGTACCTGTGTAAAACATGTTTTGTTGAGTAAATGCTGATGTTGCGCCTCCTTTATGAGTGTTTGTGTGTATTTTTTTTTTGGTTCGTATTGTGATTGTTAATTAAGAGCCGGTTTGTGGTGAATGGTGTGTGTGTGTTTTTCGACAAATAAAATTTCGTACGAGATGAAATAAAAAGAAGAATACGAGAATGCATCGCATTGAATGTGAGTGCATAAGATGATCGCGCGACGATCAGAGGTGATTTTTAGTGAGCGTATGTAATGTGGTCATATTATTGTTAAGTCGAGCGTTCATGCGCAAAAGCCAGCAACGTGTACACCGTACAAACACGTTAGCGTGTTTCATTTGGTTCAAAATTCGATTAATGATAATTACACGTTTTCATTTGAAATTGAAGTTGCACGAGTGCGTGTTAAAGCGCATAAACATCAACATCACAACGCCATCCCATTTGAATTGAAAATGGTTTTAATTGCATTTTCATCGTTAATGTTCCGGTTAAATTTTCCGATGATTGTCCCAAATTTAGCAGCATTTTTCGTGTTCGTCATGTTAATGTTTATGTTGTGTGTACGTGAGTGTGTGTGTGGAGCCAACGGTCAATGGTTTTTGTGATGGTACCGAGAAATAAAAAAGAAACAGAAAATGAACAACAACAAAAAAATAACGAAATAAAAAAATAATGAAAGATAACAAGTTGAAATTATGTAAACGATAACAACGGAGGAGGCTCAATAAATGTCAATAAAATTAAAGCAGACACTTTATGTGGAGGACAAGCCAAAATCATAAAAGTCCAATGAAATAACTCAAAAACAAAGTATTTAAACGAAATAATTACTTCCATCTGAAATTATCGATGTAGATTCTGGTTTGCCTTTTTGATGGTTACAAATACCTGCATTTTCTCTCAATTATCATTTCAATCGACCATTCTTCAAGAGCATGAACCATTTTACAATATTTGTACATCTATACATAATCGTATATACAACGTTTTGTTTATCTACAGATTTGCTTATCACAAATTGATTGAAAAAAAAATTTCAATCAAAGAGGCTGTTGTCTTTTATACGTTCGTCTTCACAATGTTTGAGCTTACATTTGCATTTGACATTTAAGACAGAGATTACAACAGCCTTTTTAGATAAAGCGACGAAAGTTCAAACCATTTGAATAATTTATGAATGTAAAAATTAATTGATTTTACATGAATGTTGTTCACATTAAGCATGCAACGTTAACATTTAAGTAAGAATTATTTGACGTATTTATTCTTCTACTTTTGATTGAAAACAAAAATAGGCGAGTATAGAAAATTAAATCTAATTTGGTAGATGTGTGACTTTTATACAGGTTTATATTAGCACTCGCTCGTAACTGTGGTTTGTAAACATGATGAACATTTTCCACTTCGACTCAGTAAAGGCGATGAGGCATTATCAATCGAAATATCTATTTATAATCAAGGCTTTTAAAATGAGGTTCTTGTTGTTTTTTTTTTTTTTTGATTTTTTGTGGAAACATTTCAACATTATTTTTCGAATCATCACCATGGCATGGAAGAAGCATTCAGAAAACGATGTGTTCAGATGAATTTTAAGTAATCCAACGGAAAATGTGTATCAAATTATCTGTTTGGTCAAATATTCATGAGTCCACAGGAATGTGTTGATAGACTGATAAACCGTATTTTCAATGAAATTCGCCGGTAATAAATCTAAAAAAATTCAAGCTACATTAACAAAACGCAAAGTGACGACACGTTTTGACGAAATTTTTGGCGAACTCATGAACTAACGAAATTTCAATACAAAATGATACGAGAGTTCGTGGTGCTGCAAGCACTCAAAAGATATTTTGTACTGAAGTGTTGTCAGCTTGACAAAACGTATCATCTTTGGACAAGTAGAAAAGTTTCGAAAGTGTCGAAACGTTAATGAACGACGTAAAAACGCCATTAACAGTAAATATTTAATTGGAGCTAATTTATGCGCTTGTTTTTATTTGATATTTATTTATATGCTCGATGGAAGTTTGTCGGTTGTATGTATTCAATTATTAAATTATTCTACTTATCCACACGGTATTTGTTTCATTCGAAGAAATAAAAATGGCAGAAAAACTGCGTTATTATTATTGAATCGTAAAAACACAACTCATTTGCTGCATCCATATTCATCGGACAAGAAGCATTTAATTATGATATTTGACATAAAGAATATCAACGATTTTAGCGAATCGAGAGCTAACACAAGGCGCACATCAAGAACAATACATATTCAAATCTGATTGCAATAAGTGAGCATGCGATATATGAATAAATGTATGGAGCGAATTAAACCAAATAAAAAAATGTTACAAAGCAAATGTTGCATCCCAAGTTGGATAATCCAGAAATGAATAAATGCAACAGCGTTAAAGGCGCATAAGAAACGCTTATTAAAAATGCATTATTTATTAATTGTTCTACATTTATTATTATTATGATTTAATTTTTTGCGATGTAACAAAACTGATTGTTGGCGTCGTTTGATGTGCATCTCTCGAAGTGTCTCACATCACCATAATGTATTAATTCGCATAGAAAATCATTCATGGTACTTTGCACACTGCGATTGTATTTTTTTTTCTTTCTTTGTTCGCATTTTTCAGGCGTGGTCCAATCCAAAACTACCAATTCATTCTATTCATTTTCGAACGAAACATATTCCGAAGGGAAAGTGTGGCTATGCACGCTATTGCGTTTTTAAATTGCAATTAATCTTTTGTGAGCGCAATATCACGACACAACAATGAATATGCTCCGTAGTTCGGTATGGCAATTCGAAAATGTATCTAATGCGTTTCAAGGCAACAGAAAAAAAATGTAAGATTTTTCAGTGTTTGCCATTCGAAGTGCACATTCACAAATGGCTATAGAATAAGAGCCTGCAACTGGCAGCAAATGGCTCGAATATAGCAAATGTAATCAATCAACTAACGAGGCATTCAGATACAACAAGCTCACACGGTATTGGTAATAAATCGTGTATTGAAAAGAAGTCTAAACAAGAAAAATGACTTTTTTTTTTGTTACACACTTGCTTACAATTTATGAGGACGTGTGCGCCTGTGAAATTAAGATTAGATGGAGAATATGGGATGCATTCGGCACGCGAACCAAAATGAACAAAAATGTAAGAAAAGTGATAATTACGAAAACGAAAACGAAAACGGAATGAATACTACGAAAACAGCAGTGGAATCGAACATTTATCATGCTTTCATGATGAGCATGAGTTAATTCACTGCAAACGCTGCTCATGAATAATTGAATATTTGGACACTTCTTTTGCGATTCAGAATGTCACTTCGCTTCGAAGCGATTCTGTCAATCGATACATTTCAACGAGATTCAGAAATTGTTTCTGAACTTGCATTCTCATTCCATCGGAGAAAAAAATACCAAACAATGCATATTCTCTTCCAAAAATGTACAAACAGCGGCAAATGGCAGAGTTGCTGGCAAAAGTGCGGAATAACAAAATTGAGACAAAACGAAATTATGGGAAACGAGTGTGTGTGTGTAACACCTTTTAACGTAAATATTTACGAAAGCGATTATGAAGTATTAATATTTCGCCTGTGCACTGTGCGTATGAGCCCGAAAGTGTTGATATGCAGCATGTGAGAGGGATCCGTTATTATCTGCGGTTTCGTTATTCCTTCCGCTACGCGTGTGCTTATCGCAAACCGTCATGCACATGGAATAAAAAAAGCAGATGAACACAATTCGATGGCATCATCACCATCATCATCGTACATGACGACGATGCTTGTGCGGTTAAATTTCAAATTTAATTATTAGTCTGTGTTAGGATTTTTGTGTCAAGTAGACTAAATAACCTGCAAAATGCCTTTTGATAACATAAACGAGCCTCGTATGAACACATTGCCAGTCTCAACTAACACAGCTCTAATTGAAACTTTAATCCTTTTCCTCAACTCGTAATTGTAGTGGTGTTCGCGAGTTTTGATTTGTAATTTTGCTTTCACACATATATATTTTTTTTATTAGCACTGATTACTGTATATGCCATAACTTTGTCATATGGCTGCCTCGTACCGCTGCTTTATAAATGAATGCACGGATACGGCAACTGGAAACGAAGGCCAAAGAAGACAACGCCGAGAATATGATGCTGAATGTTTCGAAAATTGTAAAGTGTGGCACAAAGAGAAACACAGAAAAAGAAGAAAGAGAATACATCCCATCAAAAAGGCACAAAGATTCAAATGATTCAGAGAGAAGAAAAAAAAAACGAGGAAAACAAGTAAAACAACGTGTGCTGGCTGGTGTGAGATGAACCAAAGGCATTAAAAATGCATACACACGCTTACGTGGGCTATACATATACATACACGCCTGTAGTTCACATGAAGAATACCAAACAACGCGAAATTGAGAGAGAAATTGACGTTGATGGAAAAAAAAAATCTGGTTTTTGATGATTTTGGACAGTGCAAAAAGTATAGTTGAATGTGATAAGTAATGTTTTCATATAATGCACTGAATGCTGATAATGTCTACTATTCTTTTCAGAACTTCACAAAAACACACCGACTGAACCTGACTGGAGCACAGCGATATGAGTTGAACGTTGTGAATTGAATGCGCCGGTTATTGTTCGCTGCTCTCTCATATTTCTTTGTATTTAGCAAATATTGCTCGAAAAAAGCAAGAAGATACCCGTGCCCCATAGATGGGAATGAATGTGGGAAAAAGCATCAGAAAAAGGACAATTTGAACAGTAAACAAAAATCCTATTTCGTATTGAATTACAACTGTCAGTTTTGGATTTTTTTTGTAATTAGGGAGCACAAAACAGAAAGCAAATAATAATCCCAGCTACTTTAGTTAAGTACTTTTATTTTTCTCTCAAACGGGTTTGGTTGCTGTCTTTTATCTCCCTCTTTTCCCTGGCCACATATAAATTCTGATTAAGAGATTTTTCGGTTTTTATTTCCCTTTTCGTGAATTTTCAGTCAAACGAAGTGCACACGAGCTAATTTCCATGATCAGTTGACAAAAATCCATATTTGACCATTCGCTTAACATTTAAGGCGGCAACCGTTGCTAGCAAATAAATATATCTTATTCTAGTGAAATTTAATATGAAACACACTTTTCATTTAATTTCAGTTGGTGTGATCTTTGGCGTGGATCAATTTGAAAACGAAATTTCTCTAGACAGAATGTTTTGGGGTATTTCATGATGCGAAATTCAACAGTTTGAATGTGAACTAAATTGAATTGCATTTGAGAAGAATTTTTTTTTTGTTTCTTCTCATATAGGATTGGATACAAAAATTGATTTCTAACGTGTGGATACCGCAAACAAGTCGTGATCAATTACTTATCGCCTTCTTTAAAGTATCGAGAAAGAAAAAAACGTAAAGAATGAAAAACAAGAACTCACCCAAATCAGTGGCAATGCCTATATTGCCGAATCGGTTGATATCTTTCGTTTGATGTTGTTGCTGCTGTTGAGCATGTTCTTGAAGGCGTTGTCGTGCCACCGCTATCCCAACTGGAATCGCACCTGTAAAACCGAATCAAGATATATATATGAGTAAAGACATGATACAAGTGTCAGCATTGTGTAACCGTTTTTATGACATCGCAAAGTGAATCACAAGTGAATTGAATCTCGTTTTTTTTTGTTTGTGTTCATCATTTCTTTTATCAAGAAATATGCCAATAGCAACAGTGGCAGACTAACCCGATTGAACTGAATTATTGCTGGTGTGCTCCATGTTTGATGTGGCGGTCGATAGCGATACTGTTGACGAAGAAGACGTTTCAGTTGGCGATTTGATTTCACTTTTGACAATTGGCCGATTTGTGGCTATCGTTGTGTTTTGTTGCTCTTTTAATTGAACTGTAGTCGTCGACGGGAAATTATTTGATGTCGTCACTTCAGACACTTGACACGGTTCACGTTTTATCTGCGATAAAAATGGCAACGACGAAAAAAAAAGAGAATCATATTAAGTGAGCACTCACAGGAGATAAAAAGGCGGAATGAAATCAAAACAGTGGACAATTTTTTTTTCTGTTCCATCTGTAGAACAAACCTGTAAAAGTGATGAGTTATTCCATGAAATTGGGATGGTTCGACTGCAACCAGAAGTAATGTCGTGTACAGAATGGATGGTGTTTGTTGTTTTGGTATGAGGTGTACTGGCGGCTGATGTCGTTGTATGAGTTATGGGCAATGACGTTGTACCTAAATTTGAAACAATTTTGAAACAAACAACAGAAGAAGAAAAAAACACACAGAAGATGAGTCAAAGTCAATGCACAGGCAAAAAAAGCAGTCATTTACCATTGGTGAGCCGCGAGCTTGGCGATGTAGATACTGTTGTTTTTGTCGTGGTCGATTTTGGCGGCGAATAATATGGACAACTAAATCCATTAATTTGATTATTGCTATCGGTACTAGTTTTTTGCAAATACTGCTGTGATGACACCGAACTACCTGAACTGATATTCTCGCTTTTTATTGTAATACTATTGGTCGTCGTAATTGGCGGAACCTGTGAATACAAAGTGTGCATGTGTCGTGAACAAAATAAAAATCGATATCGAAGAATAACATTTCAAACAGTACAAATCCCCAGCATTATGACCGATTCCAAATATGTTTTCGGTATATGAAATCAAAGTTGCTGCATGTGGCATTTGGATAGGAATTTGCGTTGAAATGTGTATGTGTGTGTGTGTGTTTATTAAAAACTTACTTGAATATGAAGTGGTTCGAATACGTGCTGTTGATGGGTCGTTTGCCATCGGCCGAAACATGTTTCACTTTTTTTCGTCGTCGATATAGTACTGCCAAAAAGATCGGTTTGTGATTGTAAAAAGAGACTCTTTGCCTGCTTCACATGCACACAGATAGATGGAGAGAAAGAGAAAAAAACAGCAACAAAAGCAACGGTTTTATTAAAATGGATTTTGAAATGGTAAAGAGCAGGAAAAAATCATTATTATGTGAAGCGAGTTTTTATTGTTATTACATCGATATCAGATTAGCAATCAAAACCGCTCAATTTTATCAACAAAAAAAAGTTTAACGAATTTATTGAAACAATAGTGCTTTCTGACGGGCGATGCTTTCGCAAAAAGAAGAATTCTTGTTAGAAAAAAAATTGCTTGCATAATGCATATGCTGTGTAAAAGTGTTGCGCAGATAGTCAAATCCATGTAGCTTAACAGTTCAACTAAATTGCAACAGCGAACATCACTTGTTCCGAGCGTGGAGTGTGGCGCACACGAGAAAGAGAGAGAGAGAGAGGATGAAAAAAATGTGCGGTGAAGATGTTGTTGAAGGTAAATTTGTTAACGTTGAAACGTGCTTCATTTACGAATGACTAGAACGCATACACACTAGAGCAGTGTGCGAACGCAAACATATGCACACAATAATAATCATAAAATTTTATATACACAGTAACGTAAGCCCACGGGCCTGATGCACACTGAGCCAATTTTATGTACGAAAAAGCGTCCAGCTACGTTTGAGTTTGTTGGTGCAGGTTGCTTTTTAGCGCTCAGTCTTTTTTTTTTTGTTTATTCCGCTCTTTTTTTCACCACATCAAATTAAATGTGCAAATGAACTTGTCTAGACCACTTTATATCTCTGCTGGAGAGTGCGCACATTTGAACACATATCGTAACAGTTTTCAAAATGTTTTCAAAGATTATCAAAATTAACTGTAAATTTACAATGAAAAAAATGAAAAGATTTTTGACTTGCAGCGTACACATGTAATACACCTTATTTCACTATTACTGGGATGCGAATAATAATGTCGTGCTAAATCTGGATGCACTTTTTATAGTTCGGGCAAAATGAATAAGTTACGATTTTCGTAAGTTTTTTTTTTGTATTTGCGGGTGAATGAATTTACATTGTTAAATAGAATTTACAGGGTTGACTCTGAGCAATTTATGGGAAAGCTGAATAAATATTCAATTACAGATGCATTTAATGAATTCTTTGGAAATATGCAAATTGCGAAAAAAGAAAGTCGTTTCATTAACGTGGGTGACGAAGGAAACCTGACTGGCTCATGGCTCTTATCTTACAGTTCGTTGGCTATGTTTTCATTAAGTTGGGAATTATGCATGGAGCGGAACTGGTTCATCTCTCAAGATAATGAAATTGATAGTGGTGCATTCAATGTGGTTTCATTCTCCTTTTTTTTTACAATTATCAAACCTTTTTTAGCGTATTTTATTGTCGTCTAATAGAAATTTGAATGGAAAAAAAATCAGCATAATCATAAATAGATGCACAATGCAAATTAAAAGCGTAATCTTTCTTTTGTTCTGTGATCACCGAAGCCCATACGGAATATATTAAGTAATCCGCATTCAATGTTCCACTAAAAGCCATCGTGAGTGCACATCATGAATAAGAGTGCCGATGCGAATACCTCCACTTGAGCTTTAATAGTAGTCGTCATCATTTATCCAGACAATAAATTTACCATGCTAGCAGTCAGCTAATTACCCTTTCCCACATGAAACTTGCATATTGGCTCTTTGCAAGCACATTTAACAAATTTAACTCAGTTAAACGGCTGAGAAGTGGTGTCCATTGAAGTTTATCAAATATTTGTAAAGACTTACTGTTTTTTTGCACTTAACCATTATTATGCACAATTAATATAATGAAATAAAAAAAAGCTACTCCTGAAGGATTTTTCCAATGATGTGGATTTGGATTAAAGCTGTTACATTAAGCGCTAGAAGCTAGGGCAGTTTTGTTTATGCATTTTTGTTTTTTTTTTCGCTTAGAGAATGTGCTTAATTCCATTCAAACTGCACCTTTAATTGAGTTGAAAAATTATTCTAACCCATGAAATCAATTTATACTTTGAATTAGATTATAAATGCGAAAATTAATCTATTCATTATGGCTCCAACCCATTTTAACATTAATACATTTAACACATTTGCAATGGCATGGTTATTTTGAATGAATATCTTATCACCATCATGAAAATACGAAACTTTTTCCATCAGTAAAAACTTGTTGTTTTGAATTGCATGTTTATTGCCATACGGTCAAAATGTAGTATTCAATTCAGTTTTGCATTGGATTGCAATCGGCGCATTCATATAGGCAAACGTTCACTGTGCAATCACCGATGATAATTTATTATTTATTAGGACTAACCACATTGTTTGCTCCATGCATAGAGGCAATAATACACTTCAAAGATGCGAGTATATCACATCTATCTTTATTCTATGATTTATTATCGAAACTCAAACTGAATAATTGATTTATCACGACGGGACCGGTTGTGCAAATACTCACTTGGCTAAACTGGGCAGCTGCAGCAGCGGCTTGGAAATTTTTTGCCACAAAATCCAACGATGAGACCGGTAAATATGGAGCACTGACGGGTGGTGTACTGTAACCTCTTGTGGCCAGTAACGAATCGGTCACTGAAAAATGAGAAAAAAAAATATTTTTTTTTTAGTAAACCGAATTGGTGAGAACATGTTTTGTTTGTTTACGAAGAATAATCGCTTCAAAATTATAATTCCATGGGCAGCAATAGCAGTCATTCTGCAACTGAATTTGCGCAGGCAAAAGGTAGAAGTTGTTTTGTTAGTTTTCAACTACAAGCAATTATTCTACAGTCGGACTGATTAATATTCTCTTTGAGTAAAGCAGTAAAATATGTAACTCGTGGCATTAAAGTGAAGAAAAAGGAATAATATCTATTGCATCCAAAGCCGATATTAATACCCGCCTAATTGTTCCCATTGCTTCTCACATCATAACATGATCATTCCTGCCATTATTTTAATTATAATATTCTAGTTAAGAAAAAGAAACGAATTTGTCCTCATTTTATCATTGCATTTATTCATAACAATGATAGTAGTTTAGTCTTCCACTGCAAGTGTGCTTGAGTCATCTTGCACTTCACACGTAGCATGCATTCGCCATATAAATATGAGCGATGCGATTTTACCTACTTAGAGTTTCTGCCAACGTTTTGTAAACGCACGAACAAATTGCTGAACACATGGGTTTGTTGTAGTTGTACGTGAAGAAAATGCTTAATTATGTTGTGCGCGCGGCTCGACCACGTAGTCGAAGAGCAGTAAAACTGCATCTGGCTTTTCAATAAATGCAAAACAGTGAGCTTGAGATTCATGTATTATACAATTGGAAATTTTGACGAATTAATATGCAAAATAGCAATAAATTTGAATTTGCATTTTGAAAAGTATGAACAGAAATACAAATAATTTTTTGAAACTCGAATCGCACGTGCAGCATTAGCCAGTCATTTGATTTTATTAAGCGTATGCATTGTGTACACCTATTGAAATGTACAAAACCCTTCAGCTTTCGAAGATCAACAATCAATGTGCTGTAGCTGAGGCGAGTAAATACAAATGCATGCACTTAAATGAGCAAACAGCATCAATACGCTCAAAGATTTGTCATGTATCGGTATAAATTTTTTCACCAAACATTTTCAGTCCATTTCGTATGTAAATAACATTTTGTTTGGCGAACCTGTTTAAATTCTGGGCAAAATTGATTCAAAAGATAAATAAATGCAAAATGTGTTTTTTTCTCGTTCTCTCATCACAAATTTAAATTCTATTGAAACTCTCGAAAAAGCATGCACGCGCCAAATTAATCCAATAAAATCAAATGATTGACACGAACAACCACTGGAATTGCTACGCTAGACTCTCCCTACGGTTTTGGCGTTTTTGGATAGTTTTCCGCCGATGACTTCATTCAGCCGCATATGAATGCGAAATGTCAATCGGTTGGCGGCGACGCTTCAATACGACGAATTCATGTGAATGGAACCCAACAATCGAAGCATAAGTTAACAAATAACAGAAAATCAAACAATTCGAAATGTTTTTATGTGTTCAGCATCAGTGAGCTTAAATGCAATTATAGCAAATATTCATTTTATTACACATTGTTATTATCCGACGAAGACAAAATAATCGCAGTAAGTTTTTCGAAAAGCCCCAACTTCATTGTTCCCGGCGAAAAAGTTTTTTAGCGACAGAAATACGCTACAATAACCACATTGAGATGCGACGCAGCGAACGTAGCGCCCGCCATCAGACACACGTAATAAAGTTTGTGGAAATTGGTAGGAAGAATTGAAAATTTGCTGTGAATTTTATGCAGACACATTATTTGGCACTCACGTCCTTAACAGACAGTAACAACTTGAAATCTAATGAATAAAGCACTGCAAAAAAGGTTCCTATATTTTGAGATTTAATCCTCGATTTCTTTTTTCGTCTTAAGCTTATACTTGATGCGAATGAACAAGACTTTCGGCGAGTGCCTTTGTGTGAAGAGTGTTTTAAATCGATTCTAATAAGAGTACGGAGCTCAACGAAGCTCTACATTTTCTGCGCTGTTTTGAAATTCCTTTCTCATATTCGTATTATCGACTTCTTTACTATTATGAGATATTTTCTCATTCTATTCATTGCTCTTCTCACAGTCCATCACTTTTCAAAAATTTGCTCATTTTTCTGTAGTTTGCGATTGATCTGCAACTTTGTTTCTAAAATGAAATGAAACACTTTCGGATAATTGTGTTATTTCTTATAATAGGATTCGCAAGTGCGTCTCTTTTTTTTCTCTTTCAAAATAATGAAAATAAAGAGTATGGTAAGTTGTTTTCCCCCGACTTATTTGCAATAAAATTGAGCCAACAACAACCGAACATCGACGGCACGCATAAAATTTCGATGTAACACTCGTTTCTATTCCACGCCCATATAATATTTGCAATTCATCCATCTATCTATCTTGTAGAAACGCAAAATGCAGCAAGCGGTACATTGCCATTAATATAGGCTTCGGGCTGTGTATAGTATATGATTGCATTAATTTCTTTTTCGCATAGCATTCATTAGACATTGTATGCAGATACACATGCTGTTCCATGTATGGTGGAAAGAGAAAGAGATTTGATCTGCAACGTTGCATGCATACAATACACGATGACGCACACATACACAGACACGGACATGGACACGGCTACGCAAACATATAAAACCCATTGCATTTGTATTCGTTGCCAATGTCAGAGACTAGAATTAATGAAATTCCAGCTGCATGAAGGGTTCGCCGAATCCATGGCTTAGTCTCTGTCTTCGCAAACACTGCCTACAGTTGAGCTCTGCTGGAAACACACGTTTCCACCGTTCTTCGTACTCGGAATTCGTACACATCGATCAATTATGCTTGGAACAAATCTACGCGGTTGAAACAAGGCACCGAGCACCGAAAAGACGACGACGACGACGACGACGACTACGACTACTCAACGTAATGGTGCGGAGTGGCTGACTCGATGCGAGTATGAGTAGATAAATTACATATTTTTTATGAAGCTAAAACTCATTTCCTGTTCACGAGCGATACTTATCTGCGTGCGGGCAAGCATTTTAAAGGCATATAAACGAACGAAAATATTATCACCCAATGGAAAACTTTATGCATATATTCGGTTACCGATTGACTTTTGGCTCTCTCTCTCTCTCTCCCGTTCTCTCCCTTCCTCTCCCTTCGTCTCTTCCTGTCGTGTGTCGTGCGGTTTGGTACCATACATTCAAATTCGCATTCACACAACTAACACAAGAATGCAAATTTTCGCAGAAGGCTTTGCCCAAAATCACATTTTACTTCATTGCTTTTCGTTCTGTCAATGGCATCCTCATTATGACTGCTGTAAGTATTCAGACACATACTTCCAGAGAAAAATCCATTTTTTTACACTTTCTGTTGGTACGAGTAGCATTGAACTTTTGCTTTGCTAAACACAAGCTCACACATACAAGCATACACACACACATTCAAATATGTCGGGAAATATCAAAGATATTTTATTTCAGCTTGAAATTCGCTCGTCCTCTTCGTTCGACCGATGAAGGCGTGATTAATCATAGCGGCATTTAAATCCGATAATTAGCTCGCTTAACCATATTGCAGAAAAAAAATGAAATTGCCGAGAATACATAGTGTTGTCTCTCTGATAGGATCTCGAAAAGGGGGAATATGGTAGGTTGTGACATTTTCGGTTGTTTGCGATACAAACATGTACATAGTGTTTGTACAAGGGCTATATTTTTGCAGTCTCTATCATTTTCGTGATATTGAGTTTAAAATGCAAGAAAAAATCATTAAAATTTTACCATACAAGTTGTGTTACTTGGCATATTATTCTCGTAGCCCTGAGCAAATTACAAATTTTGAATTCACGTCTGCTAAATGTCGCATGTTGGACTTGTGTAATTTGCCGCGAAATATACGGCTAATTGAAGAACTAATTATGCGACAAATTTCAGATGAAATTGGAAGCTATCAACGAAAATGGAAACTTTGTAAAATGTTTTGTTAAATTGCCTCGCATCTTTTCGCTGAACAAGATTTGCGGCTTAAAAACGAAAAATATTCGCCTTTGGTGTTCATTAATGTTTAAACATTTGGAGAGATAGTATTACGTAATGCATATTCATCATTCATTATCAAAACACAGCGTTAAGAATGGCATTCGTTTAAATTAACCGGAAATGCTAGAAGAATCAAGCCGCTGATTCTTTCTAATCTCTGAAAAAATGTTCTCAAAACAGAATTGCAAATTGGTTATATCTCGAAAATTTATTGATAAAAGCAAGTTTTTTTTTTTAGGTCGATGTCGAAAGTAGGAGTGCCACATTCCGTAGTGTATGACCGAATACATTGGTATTAAATCATTTTCCATTTGTTAAGAACATGTATTTGAATTTGTCTGATAAATCAAACAAATATTTTCAATCTCTTGCGTCGAGGTTCACGAATTAAGCATTCAAATTGTTCAATCACACCAAAAAAAATATATATTTGCAAAACATTGACACATTTAATTCATCGCTAATTTACTCAAATTTATGCCATGTTATGTTTGCCAACTCTGTATACAGTATACACAAACCCATCATTTTGCTTTAACAATAGAGATAAATTCAAACTAAATTGTATCCACAATTGTCAAAATTTTCAAATTAATTGGTTTTAGTTGGGATTGCAAACAACAATCATCAGGCTTATGTAATGCACCGTGTGCATTTGCATCGAATATCTGCCACATTGAAATCATGATTAAATACGTTGTGCATTTTATATAGCAGCATTGAAATACATAGCAGCAAATTTAAATTGGGCCACACGAATTTACATAAGCCATTTTATCGATTTTTCAACTCGGGCTTTATATAACAGGACCGAAAGAGAATCGATTCACTTTGTTTGGGAATTATGCAAAACCTGCATGAAATGGAAAATTTGAAATCAAATGTAGGTCATAATAAATTCTATTCGGAAAGAATCGTAAAAAGGTTGATTTCATTTGTACGAAATGGCAAAAGGAATATTGACATTATTTATTTATACTCAACGAGTGTTTTCCATGTGCAAGTTGGAAAAAGTTTGTAAGTGGTTTTTTTATGAAAAACGAAACTTTTCCATCAACCTCATCTGTTTGGTGGTTTTTGTGCTTTAATTCTTTGCTCGTTATAGAAATATAGTTGGAACCAAATATTGTATTTCATGTGAATTCATTAAATTATGCAAAGGGGGAAAGTTCGACAACATCCAAAATATATTATGAAAGTAACAACAACAACTAATGTTTGAATTAGTAAAATTCTATCCATTCAAATTTTTATTAATGCTTGGAGCATTATCGTCACAGCTTCACCTTCGGTATCTAGAACTTTTGCAAGTGGTTGTACTTTTAGTATGTTTTTCCGATGCAGTAGCAGTCTGGCATATGTGCATCGCCGAGGGCGAGCCAAATTTAATTTGCACCCCTAACACTTCCATTTACAGCAACATTTCAGTTTGTTTGGTGCTACGAAGTCGGAAGTTGTGTAGAGAACGTTATTCGTCATTCCATTCTGGATTATTCCATCCGAAATTCAAATTCAAAATCCGTATAGAGTCATGTTGGAGACGGAGCTAATGAGAGGATAAGCAAAGAAAACAAAAGCAAAATGAAACTCACCTTGACCGTTAGTATAAAAATCAAAAGCGGATACGCGTCCACTGCTAGCAGCACTAGACGGTGTTTGAGGCAATTGACCATTGGTTGTGGAGGAGAGTGTTGGCGAACCGGGCCATAGGCTCGATGTGAGAGCGCTTGTTTGGTTCAAAAAAAGATCGGTTGTGTTTAGATTACTGCCACCAAAAGCGCTGGTATGCAACGCAGCCAAATGCTGGAAATGTGAGTATGGCGAAAAGTACGACGGAAATGGAGTGTTTGGATGCGGCGCCAAATGTGGTACAGCAGTTGGTTGTTGGTTGTTTGAATGTGGATGCGAATTGTGGTGATGCTGCGTTTGTGAACCAGCTGGTCCCATGTAACGCCGTTCTTCACTTGTTCCCAACATTCCAAGTCTAATGAACACATCGCAAACATAAGACGAAACGAAAAGAAAGAGACAAAAAGAAAATACGAAATGAAATAAATAAAATTTAATTTTTAAATCAAATAAATTGTTAAAAATCCACTTGAAATTTGAACTTATGAAATAAATCTTAAAATAAGAATGGATTGAAAACTAATGATAATTTAAAAACTACTGATGGCATACAAATCAAAATCTCATTGAAAATAATTTCATCTTAAATGAAGGCGCATTTTATCGGCTTAGGTTTCCCATTCAATAAAATAGAAGAAAAAAAAAACAACCGTTGGTTAACCAAATAATTAGCATTGAATTTGAGTCTATCTTTTTTTTCGACAACGTGAGCCGATCAAACTGATTGCATAAAATTTGAATTTTGACCACGTTACCAATGAACAAAGACGCAGCGCAGTGTATTCGCTCGGGCATTAATTTCATTTTAACTCCATTGCACCGTACCGAAAGAAGTGCGGCAATGTTTTGCCATCATGGGAAGCATACTGTTTGACACGTGACTGAATGTATGCTACCTATCAATTGCATTGTTATTTTACAATTATTTGTTGCATGTACACGAGATGGTTATTGAAATATTTTGCCTGAGCAAGGAACCCCAATCTTTCATTTGTTCGTTTGTTCGTTCGTCGGTGGGTAGCATGCACAATTTTGCCTTGAGTTACGTGTGCGTTGTACAAATGAGTGAAGTGGATTTAATGAATGATTGTGTGTGTGTGTGTATGTGCTAAATTGGAACAAACCAGTACTACTGTAACAAGATGAAAAATCCTCAAACGTGAATGTAATGTAGAAAAGGCTATAATTGTATTTAAACACCGGTGCCAGTGCCAACTGCAACCGTGTGTGCCGTGCATACGCTCTCATTTAAGCGATTAATGACAATTGGACAAGTGATAAATTCAGCTGATGAATAATCATATCAACCAGAACCTAGGACTATTCATCGCCGAATTTTGAACTCATATTCGTTAGCAGGTTACATTTAATACTAGTGAGATAGTCATTTATTTCGAATGACGAAAAGAAAAAGTGCACTTTTTGCAGCGCCAATGAGAAACAAATAAGAATTCAAAAAATTGAGAGAGGAAAGAACGTTTCGGTGCGATTCATCTGTCGGTTCTTGGTATTCGTAATTTATGCACAAATTATATAGGTTTTATTTGTATATTCTGCGGAATGACAATACAAACCAAACTAAAAACTTTCTTCGGTACGAAAAAGAAACGACGAAACGAAACAGAAACCACAAATGAGCAAACGTAAATGGAAAGATGATGAGATAGAGCAAAGAGAACCGGTTCGGTTTGTGATGTTAATGGCAATAAGGAACCAAAAAGGCAACACGAAACCAATTTCAAAGGAACACAACGTAAGTTTTGAATCAAGTTTTGCTCGAACATCAGTTCGATCTTCTTCTTTTTTTTCGGTATAGAATCACAACGGTGCTAGTCAGTCATAGCCATTTCATCTGAACTTTGTCTATTCGGCGTACATGTGTATGTGTAGAAACAAAGCGCTACGATTTTAAGTTGTACTAATACTTGGATAATTCACGGTATTTCGTATTCATAATATGCATTGAGCAAGTAACCTATGTGGTATTTTCTTGATATCGTTGCGGAAAAAGTGTCAAAACCAATGGATCCGCACTGTGAACGAAAGGAGATGTTTTTTTCTTCTTCAGCTATTTTCTTTCGTTGCTGCTATATTCGATTCTTTGCCTCGACTACATTGATGAGAATATACATAAGTACAATGCTAATAATATTATAACGATATGGTTATTGGTTATGGCTTTTGGCAATATTGTGTTGAGCCATAAAAATAGATATTTCTGCCTTTTCAGCAACGAATCTCGCTGTGTGTGTGTGTTTTGCTTTTTTCCTTTTTATCGCACAGCGAGTCAAGTCTTGGCATTTTTTTTCTCCGTGTAGCAGTTTGACTGCTCGAAATACTCTTATCCAATCATGCATGAAAAGACGGAAAAAGGTCGATTTCCAATTTGAAGTCTTTTTTTTTCTATTTTCCATTTCATTTTGCATTTTGCTTCTTTTGTACTATTGAGCTTGAATGCATGCATGCATACTGCATAATCTATGTCCCTTATACGCTCTATTACGCTCTGGACATATATTCAATGAATGTTTCAAATGATTACTGAATATCTGTTGCTGAAATTTAAGTTCATAAGCGACAAAACTACAGTTGATGTTAATATAGTTGTTTTCACCTTAGATGATTCGAAAAAGTAATGACTAAGTAGTAATTTTTTTTCCTTGTTTAATGTAATATTTGGAATTAACTCACTCAATTCCAAATTAAGCGAGTTTTTTTAAAGTTAACAAATATATTAACTGGCCATTTCTTCACGGCTTTCAACTGATCAGTTTGGCGTGAGAACTTTTATTTAATCCCTCACCTTCATTTTCCTGTGGTTGGTCGTAGTACAAAATACAATCAAAGCCATTAATGTTTCAGAAAAAGAAAAAAAAAACTTGAAACGATTGTTTCACATTGAAATGACTTTAAGCCACTTCTGCTCAACAATTCATGACAATATTCGATTTCATCCGAAATGTTCGCAATCGTCGAAAAATGACTGACAAATATGACGAAATCCCATTCTGCTATCATTAAATGGCATATTCAAAATACGAATACATTTTGGGAAAAATTGATCGTTTGAAATATCTACGCGAATATAAAGCAAAGGAAATCACCAAACTTTAGCTCGTTCTCAAAGAGCAACGGTTGTTCAGCCACCATATATGTGTAGTACATAAATTAGAACTGAAAAGGCCAATTAATAGATTACTGAGAATGTGATCCCATGCTATAATAACGAATGTCAAAGAGAGTCAATCTTCTAATTTACTGTCCGATTACTAGAAATTAATTGGTGATATTCATTAGATATATCCAACGGCAAACCGATATAAATGATCATTTCATAAGGCAATAATTTTAAATGAATTTTTGTTATTGCGACAGTTTTAAGCACATCATTTCTCTCTATTTTCAATGGCAACTATACTTTTCTATGGCGAATTTTCGTCTTGATTTTCGTGTATGTAACACTGTCTTGATGCAGAATCAAAACTCAATCAAATAAATACCCTCTATGCGGTCTTTGAATCAGATCAATCCTGTGACTTATTGTACAAATAATGAAATTCAATTTGACAGCAACGAAACATGTGTGTTTTGAAAGGATTCACTGAAATATTTTGATTTGACTATTTGCTTCAACTGTTTTGTTTAAATTCCTCATTGATTATTATTAGGGAACGAGTATTTACACACAAAGAAAAACTCTGCTTAATTTCATCACAAATATTTACAAAAATCGTTTCGATCTGAAATTTGTGAATGTGTATCCACAGAAAGAAAAATAACGCGTACAGAATGAACAGTTTGACACTGAAATTATTGTTTGTAGTTTTATTAAACAAGTTGGTTATTCATTGAAAGCATTCCTTTTGTGTCGTGTTCCGTTCAATTAACACGTACGGCTCGTGAGAATTCGCTGCAAGCTTTCATCATGACTACAACTCAGTTAAGGAGAATATATGGAAGTTCGAATCGTTTGTGTGTGTGTGCTTGTGCAATGGTCCCTGAAAAATGTGTAACGTATGGAAAACACCAATAAATTTATGGCACAATCAGGAATGTGAGTGAACCCATAAAATTTTTTGACAAACAATTGATGTAACAGTTCGCTTATGTTTTCCCTCTCTTGATTTACCAATACTCTTGATATGGATTCATTCAGTAATGCATATACCGAAATCATTCAATTTATTGAAAGGAGCCAGCTCAAATTTAATGCTGTTTTTAATACAATCTAAGAGTGTGATTGCGTCTCTCGTCATAAATACGGTAAATGACACAATATGCAAGCTTGAATGAGACAAAACATGCGAGTTTTTAATCAAATTGGAAGCCAAATAGTTTGTAGTCATTCTGCATTAGACAGCTTTTAAAAGGGTCTGCGTGCTGGAATGCTTTTTTTCTTAATTTCGTGTAAAGTGGATTCGATTTCTTTGTGACTGACTGAAAGACGAAAACCCATAGAAATTTTTTTTAGATCGACTGCCGTAAACGATTCACAAATCGCATGCAAACGATTGACTGAGTCGAATGTAAGAGTAGCTGAACAGAAATAACAAAATTATACTGTTTTGAATGAGAAACGCGGCAATATGGTATAAATTATGTTTTCTCTTTCTCTTGCCTCCTTCTTCTTCGATCGCCGTCTTTCGAGAGTCGTAAAAAAACTATCATAAATTTAAATTTAAATTATAAAAAGCGAACGCGCCGCGATGCGGCCAGAACAATGAGAAAGAACGGAGCAACAGAGACAGAGATAGGGAGCAAAGCCGCTCAAGTCCAGTATAAAATAAGATACAACAACAGCTACAGAGAATAAAAATCGTTCGTTCTCTCGACGGTCGACAATGTATAAGAGGCGATGTTTGGTGCTAAAAGAAACGATACGCTAAACGAGTTTCATATCGCATGTGTAGATCGAACATATACATATATGTATCCTATAGTCTCTCATTCTATCTCTGTTTGTCCCTCGAACGCAACTCAACTCAAGTCAACTCGAATTTAAAAAAAAAATGCCAACATGGATACGGCGATGCATGTTGCGCGCGCACATACTTAATTCGCTTCTGCTTGCGTTCCGTTTTGCCCGTTTAAATGTTCTGTTGCTATTGAAAATGTGTGTATGTTTGCCCGAGGTCTTTTCTAAATAAAATCGTAACGCATACACACTACGCACTGAACAGAAAAGCCAGTAGTTGGTAACAGATAAAATAATAATGGTTCATAAAATAAATTAATTTTCTAAGTCAATTTTATAGGGTTTCGTTCGTTTAATATGATCTATTGCATGAGAATGCCCATGGATGGGACTTCATTAAACGACATTTTCAGACCGTATGCCTCAATCGATGGAAATTATTTTTTCATTTTTTTTTACATAAGCAGTAAAATGGAAATCGAAACTTTTACGAATCTCAATTAATACATTTGTTTGAACCGATTTTTTGTTGAACTTTATCTATATATAGATAAAGTTGGACGGAAATGAACCAGCCAAAACGAAAACATTGTGTCGCCGAGGATAGCATTTCAATTCGGATTGGAGTAACCCACACTTTATTCCCTGAAATCGATCCGAAACAAAGCAGGCATTTCAATTAAATTGGATCTGAGCAAAGTCTCAAATGACTGACATTTTCTCAAATTCAGTCAATAACGCGGACTTGAACTCAATGTAATTTACTTTTTACGTGAGCGAATAACAAAATAAGCCTTAAGAACCAATGAGTGATGGATCTGGATATTTTCTGTTACCAAACGCTCGATTTATTTATTCACAATCCAATTGTAATTCGTCCAAATTTGACTTTCATGAAGCATCCGAACCGAGTTGATGTAAAAAATTGACTGGGATTAACCGAAATCTAAATAAAATCTGTGCATTCCTGTATTCCTGCATTTTTTTATTCGATTTCATCAATTTTTTTTTATTCAACTCCAAATCTCAATATTCTTTATGTCTATCTCCTTCATTCCTGTCATTTGTAACTCTCCCCGACTGAATATTAATCGACTGCGATTGAGATGAACAATGTACAATTTGAACATGGCATTTATGAGATTTGGCCTGCGTGTGTTCTTGCTTTGAGTTTGCGTCCATCGTGCTCGTCTAATGCCCTAAATTACGTTATTATTGACTGTCAAACATGGCTTCTTTTTTGTTATTTTATTTGTGAATTGAGGAAATTGTTCATGCTGGCACACATTTCTACGGCTGCTGCATTAGCATTATCATTTACCAAGCGTTTGCTTTTAATAACAGTCATAACATCCCATTAGTTTTACACGATGACGACAACGACGGCAAACGAAAAAAACAAGTCCATATCTTGTTTACTCGCGCCAAATGTGAACCAGTAATTCGAATGCATTTAATCGTTTCGTTTCGTTTGGTTCACAACAAACAGAGCGCATACCCAGAATGCTTTAGATTAAAAGCAAACAAGAACGAACGAACGAACAAAAAATCCGTTCAGAATATGCGTTCAATGCATTACAACGTTTTTTTTTTCTCGAGTGAGCAGCATGTTTGTTCTATCCATAATGATACCTTCATGTGACATGCAGAAGTTCTATTATCAGCTCAAGCTAGCGACTAACCGAATGCATAAAAAAATAATATTGAATAGCTGTCGCATGAACTCCGAAATGAAAATCCGATTAAGCCATTAATTGGTGTCGAAAAAAAATGATACAGTTGAACTCATGATATTTGGCCCTTTTACTCAACTACCAGCATGTATGAAAATTCAACCTGCATTCATTGCACGTTGACTTCAATTCCAACCAAATTTTAATCCAATATTTTTCCCAATCCGACTGATAGACGACTCAATTTCCTGTGCAATTTGAATATGTCTTCGACATCATCATGGAAAAAATCACTTTATTGTTTCTACCAAATAATCTGTGGTCTCCATTCGCATTTAAGTCGGCATTCTTGGAAACAATTGGAGTATTTTTAAGGATGACATAGAAATTTCAACGCAAATGCATATAATTTGAAGCGATATATCGTGTGTATTGTCTGACTCTTAAATTATTATTTTCTGAAAAAAGAACTAAAGAAACAATGAAAAACTACTACAAAAAATCTGCTATATCATTGTGATGAATTAAGGCGGCATGACTAGTTCCTTTTTTTTCGTAATGTGTCTTATTCTCATATATCAATTTGAAATGATTCGATCCTTTTGCGCAACAAAACAACCAAATTCAAAGAGAATTTTCTGTTTTTTTTTCTCATACTTTCGGTAAAATTCATTTTTGATCTTATTCTCAAGCAATTCAAATGTCATTTTGATTACGACACGATGACTGCAACTTGATTTATGTCTTTACTCGAAAAAGAAAAACAAACACACAAAATATTAAAAGCCATAGAGAGAGAGAGAGAGATAAAGACGAAGAAATAATAAAAGTCGTAAAAAGGGCATCTGCTGTGATCCGTTCGAAACGCCATAAACATAGACACGATTCACTGATAAAGCGAAAAAAAAGCCGGACCAAAATGCCACCGAGCAAATATTCTGGAAAAACTTTATTAAAGTCACGTTTCGACTCTAATTTATGTAAATGTGCGACATGTTACACAGCGTTGCACCGAATCGGAACAGATTAGTAAGTGTTTCCATTGGAAACTGCATGAAGGATAAATTGTCAATTGCTGTAAATAATATTAACAAATGAAAATAGGCAGTAACGCTTCTGGTTCATTTTATGCCTAGAACATTCGAACAATATTCAGTTTATGGTGCGTGTAACTTTATAGAATGTATGACAAACTGTCGTGAGAAATACGACACTTTGATCTCAGAATGCACATAAAGTGTTGTTAAATCTTCCATCTTTTCTACTTTGTCACAACAGGAAGAAGTTTTCGCGCATAGATTAACGGAGTTGGTAAATTGGGGGAAAGTTTACTGTCATACTTTAATCTGTTTTCCGTTTCGAATGTCAAACTCGATGGCTTGGATTTCTTTTTGGTGTGATGTTTTTCCTTTTGTGAATCGTTTAAATACTTGGAATTCAGAGTGAAAATATCCGTTGTCTTTAACTCTCGTCTTCGTTGCCAAGGTAGCTTTCTTCGTATAAAATACATGGGAAAGATTTGACGTAAGACGCCAAGACGCCTCTACGCGTGGAATACTCGAAACTGTCATCGTACACATATCGAACACGAACATTGTCGTTTACACAATCGCACTCACACAAATGAACGTATCGATAGTGCCCGCTCAATATATGTACGATGACTGTTTTGAGTGTCCCTCGCCTAGAGGGCTGCGTGTCGTTTTTCTTCATTTATTAAGCGATCTTGTCGTTGCTAATCATTTAGGCAGTTAAGATCCTAGAATTACACATTTTTGTCTGCATTTTCGAATATCTTATGATCTCGTCTCTTGAAATACCAAGACAAAAGACTAAGAAAACCCCAAAGCAACTTACAAGCGAAAAACCACATTTTCAAACTAAAATATGCACATTTTGTGTGGATGGTAGGTGTGAAATGAGATAGAAATGAGAAAGGGAGAAATTGAACAAGAGTTTCGTGAGAATGTAAAGTGAAGTGCGTACAATGGTTTGTGTATTATGACAATAATTGTGCCATTTTTGCTACTCCTTTCAATCTATTTTCATTTCTGTATCGAAATTGTTGTAGAATCGCGCATGTTTCCACAGTATTAGCGTCTAATCGGTTTAACAATGAAACGCTCAATTGAATTTGAATCGAAACATTTTGATTTCGGTTGTGCAATTTACACAGCCGATTGGTTAGTACGAACGTCTTTGTAGCATTGCTCTTAAGATTCCTTGCATATTAAATAGAAAGCCGTTCGATTTGTTGATCAAGTCAAAATGTTTTGTTCATTGCTTGAAAATCCATTTATCCCTTTTCTCGAATAGGGTGAATAATGAATGAATCAGTACATATAAGAGCTAAAATAAGTGTGAACGCATTGTACTTACTTTTAATATTTAATTTTCCTTTTTAGATAAGGAAACCAATCGAAATCAGTCTCCTCCATTGAAAATGTTGCTGAATTTTTAACGTTGGCAAATCCAAAAAATGTGTTTGTTTCTTTGTGCGGCTGCTAAAATTTCCAAACGTAGGCGGACGAGTGGAATGGGTTCACTGAATATTTGTAATCCGTTTGCACATAAAATTCAACTCTCAAGTAAATAACTACTTCACTTGCTCTTTTCTGAAAATCTTCTTACTGTTTTGTTCACTTTTTTTTCACGCTGGCAAAATGTTATCCATTAATTTTGTCCAAAATCTGAAAATAAAAACAAGATTCAAAGTCTGAGTAAAGGCTATTAAAAAAAGTGTGCATTTTTAAGGCTATTACTTCGAACGAAAAAGATCTTTTTTTCTGTTGGAATTCAAAATGTGATACATTGATACAAAAACAAAGGTTGATCGATGTATTGACTTAGAGACGGTGAGTCATAGCAAATCAATTGCATCAGTGCATCGTCGGTACATTTGATTTCCATCAATTTTTCTATTCACGTTTATCGACAGTGTTTAAACAATACTAATGAATGCACGTACTGTATGCATTCGTAAATTGCAATCAATCGAACGTTGTTGCTTGCATTAGTGTTTGCATTGCTCACTTTATATACGAAGTGAAGTGCATATTTGCTCGCCTCATAGTGGTTGACCCACACTCGTTTTCTCATTTGACCTACGTTTGCCAATGCAATTCGCATGTTAAATGAATTTTAGACGCAAAATCTCATTGAAATATTGATATTTGCTCGTTCAAACACCACAAATCTATGTATTTAAAATGTTCATGCAATAAACAAACCACACAGAATTTTGCTTCAATGAAATATCCAATTCGATGTCGCCACAAATAGAGACATTTTGAAATTGAACCTTTCCTCTTGCTATGAACCTTCTATCATTAGATGTATGTACGGTGTACGTACTATTTAGTAATATGATAGCAACGTTACCTCCTACGAAACGATAGGTTGGTGATAAGTAACAATAGCCAAAAGGATTCATTCATCATTTCGGAAAAAATTGGACGTCGTAATTGGAAATATAATCCCAATAATTAATTTCATAAAATGCATTTGTCTTCCCAGTAGCTGATATTGGCATTTCATACACATTTTAGTCAAGGGAAGGTTGAAAAAAATGAGCGAAACAAAAGAAAGTCGTGTTATATAAATGCCATTCAAGCGTCATTGTATATCGGAAGAAGTTTTGGGTACATCGAGCAGAAACTTCTCTGTGACGTAATTATTTATCGATCGGGGGGAAATTCTTATAATGCTTCAATTATGGTAATAAATTCCCTAATTCTAATGAAAATAGTTGGAGAAATTCTCAAACTTTCATATATTGTGCAGGCATGGCCAAAGAACCAGTGACATTCAATGGTGTGTGTGTGTGTTTCAGTGATGCAATAAGAACAGGGAACACCATAAAAAGTAGAAAAATTCTTATCATCAATGGGCTATTGATTTTAACTATAGTTGAAAGGTGCATGTATTCTGAAATGTTACTTTCAAAGTGTTATATTTACTGAGAGTATCTGAATAGATCAAAAGAAATAGAGTTTCATTCAAGTAAAACAAATCAACATAAGTGTTGGAAACATCGATAAACAAAATCAATGATCACTAGATGAAGAAAAAAAATTGAAAATTGTTCAAAAAATGAAGCCTCATTCTTTGCAAGGAGTTCATTGCTGTGATGCACCTTTTCTTTCAATGCTGAATGACTTTTCTAGAAGAAGATTGCGAAACTTTACTCATTAAAAATGTCTACGTGAACAAAGAACATGGAAGAACGTGGAAGAAAGTGAAGAATCAATGAAAAAACTCAATCGATTTTGCTTTTTGTAGATGAAATCATTTTTCCGTACCTAGATACTCAACTTGATTTTCTCTTGAAACAAAGACATGGCACTGCTGCAGTCTATTAAAACGTATCCCAAATTGGTGTTCTGAACAGTTGAGCAACTTTGACGTGAGCAAGAAAAAGAATTTTGATTATGGTATATTAATTTAAGTAGAGAAATTCATCGCGAAAAATTTGAAATGAATTTATATGTGGTTGTTGTTGTTCTTTTCATTGAAAATGTTAGCTGTAAATGAGTCTGACGGAAATAACTGGCATTAAGTCTGCTTTTAGTATGATATTCCGTCCGTGTATTAAATATCATCAAGAATGTAAAAACCCTTTTAGAACACACTTTACACATTCAATTCAATTAACACAATTTTGCAGCAGTTTTTTGTTGTTGTTGCGTCGACTTGTTTCTTGTGAACATGTTTAGTCCATTTAAGAATAGATATCCAAGTATATTCTAATCCACATATACACACAAGTATCCGTGTTATGATGACTGTGACTGTAATTGCTACAGTGTGCAAAATTCTATTTCAACACTAATTACGAATGAAGAGAAAAAAAAATATTTCGATTTATGATCATTTCGAGTTCTGAGCAAAGAAAACCAATTACGACATTTGTACGAACACAAGAAATCGTGTATCATTCATTAGTATGCAGTAACATATAATTTCGTTTACGTATTAATTTACATTGTTGTTATAAAACATTAAAAGAATGTATTTAGCTAGACTAAACATTGAAATGCTTCTCGCGAGCATCTTGTGTGTACTGAAAAAGTTAGCTGTGTTGTACAGTTTTGACCCTAAGCTGTGTGTGTGCTGCAGTCGGGTCGATTCGTACATGGCCATAAAAACATGCACGCTAAAATATTTCCGAGAATTTGGATTGGAATTTAATAAACTTGGCAAGAATCCACTTGAATATATATGAAAATATAGGGTCACTTGAGTTGCACCCTAACAGCAGATAAACTAATTTCGAGCGAAAAAAACAACAACGAATTCCGGTCCCCCGGCTCATTATTCAATTTTCAAATGTTTTGATACATATTAAACAAAACGAAGAAAAACAAATAATGACTCTTTTCAAACGCTCCGAATTTCTGCATGGCTTAAAACACTCTTCATTGGAACTATGAAAATAGATCGATTTTTTTATTTTTCGTTGTTGTCTCTTTGCATTGGCTCGCTCGTTTCTTCCGACTGAATAGTCTGTTAATGCTCTGTTGCTATTTATTTGATTGGTATCAGCACAGTGTTTTGTTCAATTTGAAATTCGAATCAAGCATGACATTTTCGAATTCATATGGAAATCCAAACACACCTCGACTACGGATGTGAAAAGATACAAAAATCAAGAAAATGAATAGAATAAACAGAACTGGATAAAAAGTGTGCATAACAAAATGAAGAAGTCTGCAGAGATAAAGTGAATGAGAGAAACAGGAGAAAATCCTATGAAACCAAAATGAATTGAACTGGTATTTTGTGAGTGGAAAGAGAGATGGTGAATAAATGTTGGTTGGTGTTAAAGGTATACATATGTACATATAGACACAATGGTATTTGGTGGCAGGCAACGAGAAGAAGATCATTATAAATAACAGCGTCAAAACCAAAGTCATCAAGATAACATAAAAAAGGACGGATGAAAAATGCATGCAAACTCAAATGTGACGATGGAACAAATGGAATACGGACCGCTGTAGCAAAAGTGAATTGGATGGACGAACTAGTAGTTTGGTGCAAGAACATATGAGCGATTGGTGTTTCTTTTTCCTTCTTTATAACTTATTTTCATCAGAGTGCTGAAGAGTTTCATATTGTGTTAGCTGTATCCAACAGCTGTGTTTATTAATTAATTCATTTCAAGTTTTTTTTTATTTACATCTACGGAATTGTTAAATATTTGTTCGATGACCGAGGTGCTATAAACTGAATTGGTTTGTTTTCTACATTTTTTTATCTCAGTTTTTTTGTGGCTAGTAATTTGACTAGAATTTGTGAATGCCCATATGTTGAACGTTATATGCTGCGATTAAGAGCCAAGAACAGTTTTGTTTTTTAATTGAAAAAGAAAAAAAAAACAAAGCGACCTATATTCAAAAACAAGATTAAAGTACCGTAGGGCTCAGGTTGTTGTTATTGTTTTATTTTTGAAAAAAAGAGAGAAAGAGAATAACGAATCCCTCCTTTGAACCAAATTCGTGTTAGTGCATGCGATTTTCAATGCCTCTTTCATTCTATTCATTTTGTTTCGTTCCGTTTTGGAGATTTTCATTCATCAGTTGGTCCGTGAATACGAACCACTTCGAGAGAAAAAAAAACCTCGTCACCGTCTGATTCTTCATTAAAACGAAGTCACTTTGTTTGCGAATCCCTTCAGTGTCAGCCAACCAGACACTTAAACGAAATTTGAATTTATCACCTGGGGTTTTTTGCACGAAATTACTAGAAACCGTTGAATAAAATGCAAACTAGTCAAATAGATTGAAGTCTATTGCGTAGTTATGTTTGGTCTGTTCATGGCCTTGAGAAAATGTTTCTTGATTTCACTTTCGCTTCCAAAGACTGACAATCTCTTATCATTATTTCTCTGCATTAATAACTATAAAATATACAGAGTCCATGAAATGCAATTATGGAACTCTTTGCATTTAATTTTTTTTCCCCGTGGAACGTGTGCATCTGTAGACAATCTCACCGAACTGTGTTTAGATAAATACGAACTAGGGGAAAACGTAGCAGCAAACACCAATAAATTGAACCAAAACGAAATGATTTCATCTGTTGAAGGATCCCGAAATCATCGTGCCGTCTCTGTTGCGCCGTTCGTCGATTGTACAGCCATAAGGCTTTTATTAAATGAAAATGTCGTGTTGTTGCTTGTTTGCAATTCACAACGCTCGACGGCTGCGGGGATGCATTGGCAACGGCAGAGCGAGAGCGAAAGGGAGAGAGGAAATTTATACGTGTCACACACAAAAGTCACATATGGAACGGAACGCAATATCAGCGTGTGTCGATGTACCGTTAAACGTGGCATGCTCTCATGCTTTCCGTTCATGATATGCCAACAAAAGGCGGCAGCATCAACAGCAGAAGTTTATATATCAAGACCGGTGCACATAAAAGAAAGCAAGCAAAAAATGTCGGTTTTATTTTTCCAACCGGAGGGTGGAAAAACGAGACGCACGAACCTCAAATCAATTCGGACGGCATTGAGTATGGGCGAGATGCAAAGAGTGCATTAGGAAAAACAAGCAGTGAAAAAATAGCGACCGGAGATTGTGTGTGAGAGAGGGACATGGAGAAAGAGAGAGAGAGAGATAGAGAGGGAGAGAAACAAGAAAAGAGAAAAAAAAGGTTCCATTCCCTATAGCAAAAACACGGAATT